CCGTAGCTCCTTCGCCGCTTTAAGTACCCCTTTAAAGAGCAAACCCATTTGAAAGGGTCCACAAGGCGCGGCACAGCGCAGCCCCGGCCGAGTTGCAGCCCTGGCCGAGTTGCCGGCCACCCTCTTCCAGTGGCCGGCTGGGTGCGGCCCGGCTCCGCCCGGCAGCGGACAGCCCATAAGGAATGCGCCACGCAGAATTAACTCCGGTGAGGCGGACGGCCTTGAGCGGTTTGGCGCGTTATTCCACGAATTAACGGCTGCAACGGACTAACGACGGCGTGTGTATCAGGTGGCTCCCACCACATACATTCCCTTCACATTAGTCTCAATGCACAGTGACCGATAGTGAATGACTCGTGATGAATATCAAGGGGAAATTAAAAAAATTCTACGTTAACACGTGACATGTATCCCAATATTCAGCCGCGAAAATGTATAACACTTAGGTCAAAATAACCGACACACACAGGTCGACTAGTAGATTTGGAAGTGGTTTTGTGTTGGTTCATGAAAATTTAACTTACTTCTGCACTAGGCTGAGTTAAACAAAAATTCAGCGGTTTTAATAAAGTCAACCTTTTACCATGTTTACAAGTGATCATATCTGTAAATATTCGAACAAGAAAATTAAAGAAACATTTCGGAGCCGTATTGACAAATATTGAAAATATGGTATGAGCTTCATACAAAATACCCTTTTCACTTAACAAATCCTTCAAAAATTATTTGTAATGGATTTGAGTCAAATCAAATGGATTGAATTGGTTTTGGAAAAGTCCAGAGGGTTTCCAACTAACATTGTTCGCCGCGTTTGTGCTTCCAACCGAGCGCAGAGCACTGTTTTCGCGATTGGGAGGTCTGGGTCACATTCTCGGGCCGGCCATGCTGACAGGGGTTTTCGTGATGTCTCTCTGCCATAAGGCGAATGCTGGGATGGCTCAAGAAGTCCACGATCACCTTTCACCAATATCGTATCAACTCCTAATCCATTAATAATAGTAATAATAATAATAACAACAGCAATAATATAATAATAATAATAATAATAATAATAATAATAATAATAATAATAATAATACTTCACGGCGCGGACAAAGTTGCTCGCGTCCGTGGTTACCACACGTGTCCCCTGGGTAGCGCTAAATGAGCAACAGCGATTCGCCACCTAGGCGCTTCACCATTGTGGGCGTGCGGATCCCTACAAGCTGAGAAGGTCTGCACTATATGTACTGGTCGGCGCGTCCCCAAATGGCTAAGATGCCAAGGGTGGGCGTTGCCCATCAACAATTTTGTGTTTCCGCTGCGTACATCGTCCTCCTTGCTCCCGCTCTTCCTCTCCGCAGCCAACATCGTCAGCTCCTCTCCATCGTGATTGGACCGCGTGGCCGTGCGTTGCAGCTGTGAGGCGCCGTGGCGCTAGGCCGCTTGACGTGGCGTGCCTGCTCCGTGTTCCCCGCCACCGCGCGAAGCCGCCCTGCATTGTCGCCCCGCGCCCTTGCGCCCGAGGGCCCTGCCCGGGGCGTGGAGGCGCGAACAAAGTCCGGCGCAGGGGGCGGCACCCACGCGTCCTTTGACGCGCGTGCCCATGGCGCCGTCGGGTTGCTGAGCGCCTGACGGGGGAGTGTATCGCATAGTTGAGAGTGTGGGGGACGGGCGTTCCCTTCTGGAAGTACTTGATTATTAAACTGCCACCGACCACGCTGGTCGTTTGCTCCTTATGCGCCTTTACATTCACGTTAATACGCGTCTCCTCACTTGCCAAAATTCAATTAACGTTTTGTGCTAAATTACCTTCATTAATGTATTGATAATTGAGTGGCTAATAAACGGTTTTATCAAATATCCTGAATTACCTTTTGTAATACATCCAAAAGAGATAAGTGATAAATCTAAATCAATTTAATTGCGATAAAAGAGAACTTATCACATGCTGGCTAGGTGTTAGAAAAAGATATTTTTATATATTATTCGTTTCGCTACTTCCAGCTAAATGCAAAACACGCCGTTGTTTTTGCAATAATATAAGATGCTAAACGTTGCTTGTAGAATTGCAAATCAAATTATGCAACGAATTATGCATGTAGAGTGGCTGGTTACGTATTCGTAAAGAGCCCCACGTCACTTTAACTGAGGTCGGGCTCCCGCACCAGCGATCTCCGGAGTGATATATTTTAAATGAAGTCCGCCGGAGTCGCAAGGCGACGCCGCGGAGCAGCCTCTCTGTGCAGTACATTAGCGCAGCAAAGCGAGCATCCCGCGGGCTTTTAAGGACTTCCTCATGCTAATGAAAGCTGCAATTCATGCGCCCGCCCCACCCTGACCCGC